CCAGGCAAGGACCCAATCAATGACTATGTGTAGAGCGTTGATTCAAAGATACGTGCACTCCAATCGTCGTGCCAATTCTGGAACAGCTACATGCTCCCACGCTCCCTTCTGACTCTGCCAATAAAGACAGAAACACCTGCAATTCTTTTGGCTTTGCCTGGAACTGGATCGTGGTAAGTTGTGAGACGAAACAAAAAGCACTTAGGTCACCTTGCAACTTCGCAAAGAAGTTTGAAGCCGAGAAGCTGGGGCGCTTCCAGTCCAACAAGTTTACCTCCTATGAGTGCCTCGGAAAAGCACCATGTGTAAGGTGACCAGAGGTGACCCGGAATGATCAGACACACCGATTGGTCGGGAAGGACTCGTTGTTGACCAAGGATTATTGGAAGCATTGCTCGTCCTTTCGGTTCTGACACTTCTAGATCCACCATGATCCACCATGTTTCAGCATGGCTCCAAGATCCTCTAACCCACCTCCTTTGTCGCTGCCTTCGCTATTCTTGTGCCAGGTATAGGGATCGTTGTGATGATCCCAAGTACCAGTTCCTCAATTGTTCCTGGAAACTCTGGACCTTCAATCGCAAGAACTTCTTCTCTGCCTTGGAGGAGGTTCAAATGCAATTTCCGCAGCTTACAGAGGATTTACCCGAGCTCTTGTTTGGCTTGCGGGTAGCTTGGCCTTTGGATCATTTCACCTCCAAGGATGCGTGATGTACCCTTGTGACATTTTGTGACACCTTGAAGGGTTTCCTGCTTTCTCAGATCCGAAGAACAGAGAATTTCGAGTGGCTTCTGGACTAGTGGGGAAAACCATCAACTCTTTCTGCCAGGTGTGAGTCCAGTTGACAACTGCAGCTGAACAAACGGAAAGCTGGCCAAACTGGCATGAATTTGAGACCCCAGCCACTCCACTGTCACTCCACTGTCCCATGAGGTTGGCTTCTTTGACTTCTTCTATTTGCCTCGCAAGGCCTTCCCAGTCTTCGGTCAGTTGGCACAGGTCTTTGCCAAGCACGCCGTGTACTTGGAGGTTGCTGGACCAAACATCTTGACTATGACCAAAGCACTCACAGGACTTGATGCTTGGAAGACTGAGGCTTTAAACACAGTTTGAGTTTCCGGACATTTCTTGTGGTCGACTCATAGAAGACCCCTTTGACATTTTCACGCCTGACCGCACACTCCAAGACACATCTTTTCTCAGAACGCTTCTTAAAAGTGACCATATATAATATATACATATATATAGATATGTATTCTGCGAAATGTTTTCATGTGCTGACGAGGAATTGCAGGAGTTCAACTGCACTTTGGGCGTCAAGCCTCCTTTGACATTGTTACAGATTTCTGCGCCAGACTTTCATTGTGGCCATGAAGTTCACTACCAAGAGGATGCTTATCGTTGTTCTGCCCAATATTTTCCCGAGTTCTTTCTTCTCACCACCTCCAAAGACTACTATATTGAAGCTAGATAATCATTTCTGGCCGAATGACAGCACCTAACTCCAGAAGTTTAACCATGAACAGGTGATGGTCAAGGTAACCTTTTCTGGTTTTGTATGCCTGTGTACCCTCACAAATCTCTACCAACACTTACCTGAAGACACGGACAGACGCTTGGAAGGGTGTACAGCAGTTTGGGACTGTTTTGAATTTGCCGCAAGCAGGGAGACCCCGCAACAACGCCACAACAATGCTTGCTTTGCCTTGCTAGGCCTTTTTGGAGTGTGATCTGTGTGTATCTTCACCAGGAATTTCAAGGATTTAACGCATTCTTGAGTCCATCATTTTGAGACCCCTTATGTCCCTTAAGACTCCAGACTTCTCGGAATCAGGATGGCATCCTGCGCACAGTATCAGCCATGCTTGAAGCTGGTGACTGGGCAGATCACTGAACGAAATGCTTTGATTGTTGTTTTTTCTTGCTTCTTCAAACAGGACACCCTGGGAGGACAGCCCTTTGTACAAAATTTTTTCGCAGATGGACTCCTAAGAAGGATCGGAGTCATGGATGCGCACGCTCCAAGCGAATGGCCCCAGCTTCTGATGGACATAGGGTGCTTGTGGGGCGTCCCAAGATTAGAGAACGCCACGAAGACAAATAAGATTAGGTCTTCTTCCATTTGTCTCTCAGCAGCAGCTGCACTGAGGTCGCCCGATGCGAGAGGATTCACTGGCTCGGATTCCCATGGCTTTTCTTCATTTGCCGGCGAAGGAGTGGAGCATTTGGATCGAGCTGCCGGTAGCCACTTGGGCCAGAAGGAGATGATGTAGGAAAGGATGTAATTTATTAGGTGGGATTACTGAGTCTTGGACACACTCAGACTCTGAGACAGTTCCTTGGAATGGTTTGGGAAGAGAAGATCCTTGTTTCCAGTCTAAGGCTAAGGGGATACATCAGTCTTCCCAATCTCTTGCTGCGAGGTTTCCCAATCGAAACGAAGGAGCATCACCCAATCGAAGCGAAGGATGTCTCAACATTACATTTCGACGCTGACAAATATCTCACACAAGCATGTATGTGCTTGGCAATGGTCCAAGGTAGCGATCTTCCACCTAGCTACCTCAATTTCTTTTTAAAAGTCAATACATTTGTGTTCCAAAACCATGTGGCTCGTGGCTGGGGATGTGAATTTGGGGCGCTGGCGGGCAATTTTAGCAGCAAATTCCTGCACTACTTTGGAAGGTCATGCCAAGAAATGTTTGCTCAGGTCTGCTTGGTGATTCTTGGCCTCTGCCTTGGAGCCTGTGGACTGGAGACTATAACAACCACTCTGTCCACATTTGCATTTTCATTGCTGGTTTGTGCCGCTTACGTCTTGATCTCCGTCACCATTGACCTCTCCATAGCTCGGCAAGCTCGGATGAGTGCCAAAACACCTGAAGAGGATTATGTCTTTGAGCCAATGTGTGCTGTGCTACTGACAGAAGGAATCAAGCTCCTGGTGTCATTGTGCCGCTTGGCAGGGAGCATACTTTCATTCAAGAGTAGTCGTAGTATTCGATCCAGACATGTTTGGGTCCAAGAACTTAGCCAAGCCGCTAAGCTTCTCTCTTGGTTGGCAACATCACTACACAGCACTGAGGCCACAGAGTGATTCGGAACAGTTTTCTTGTTCAGAGGAAATCGTGCCAATTGTTTTTGTTCTCGGGAGCCCTTACAACATGGGACTTTCAGCCAATTCTGCGCGAGTCTTGGACAGACAACACCAGGGAGCAGTCCGAGCACCGCTTTGAAGCTCCTCCCAAGGTTTGTGAGCACTAGCCGTGGGATCGAGTGCAAGATTCATTTAGGTGAACCCAAAAGTGCCACACTTGGACATAGAGGGGCACGTTCAACCTGGACCTGAATACGTTGCGAAATACTTCTCTCCCTTCCATGACTTTTCTTTACTCAATCTTGGGGTATTCCAACAAGTCGGCCCTTCTGCCTTCCAAGGACGTGTTTTGGACCCACCTAGGCCTGGCCATTAAAGCGGAAAAGTTTGAACGCCTCACCGCTGCAGACACTCATCAACAGTTTGGGGCAGGCTTCGACGGACGGATGTGAAAAGTTGGACGGATGCGACAACCCGTCGTCCTGCCAAGCAAAGTCTGTTTTCACGGGACAAATTGCACGTTGTTAGAAAGAATCAGTTGGCTTGATTTGTGTTTTGCTTTTTTGATGTTTGTCCCTTTGCCTGGCATGCGTGCATTTTACCATTGTGTTTCAATGGAAGGAACAAGCTAGCAGCTCGATGCATCATTTCTATGAGACTTACTGCTTATTAGGATATTTTCATGCAACTGGATGTTCATTTGAATGTCATGGAGTTTCGCCTCAGATGTCCAACAGAGGCTCCAGGGAGTTCTTATCACTGATTGAGTTGAAACTGCAAGTAAACCACTCCATCTAAACTCCTGTTCGATGAATAACTCCCGCAAAAGGACTTTTGCCTTGCAGAATTTCTTGATCCGTCTTTTATAGCCCAAGGATGTGAAATGGCTTGGCAGCTCGGCTGCCCTTTTCACTTTGAACAACCTCTTGGCTCCTCGGATGAATTGGCAGCAGTTGCCTTGATCGACACCGCTTTTTCAGCACTCGAAAGCTCGGACCGGTCGTGTTCCAAAGCTGCTGTAGGTCTGGTGGGCCATTGGGAGCAACGACCTGTCAACGTTTGGAGTTCTGCGTGGGCTTGGATGTTTTTCAAGAGATTTTTAATAGTTTGGCCCCTTTATGTCATCAATGCGCACGTCGCGCATGTCTCCATGACCATGATCATGATGCCCACCACTTGGGATTGCTGGCTGATGCTGAATCTTCTGGCACGGTGCATTCTCTTACTAAGTGACGAATCGTTTCATGTTTTGGGTTGTCCGCCCTTTGACATGGTGTTTTGGGTTGTCACCGTCACAAGTGCAAGGCCAGACTCATGCAGTTGTTGCAGTTGTTTTGCTGTCCATCGAAGGTGATACAATCATTCTTTGGACAGCCCTGTTCTGGCGACTTCTTTTTGGCAGACCCCTTGGTCTCTCGCGTGTTGGAGGCATACCTGACGGGTCTTTTTTGTTTGATCCACTGCACGAGTTACAGGGTTTTTGTATGCTGTCAAAACTAGTGTTACCATGCTTTGCCCAGCTTAGCTTATGACGAGCTTGAAGCTTCCATATTTAACATGGTACTTCTATCACCATCCAACTGGTTAGTGACTGCCCTGACCTGCACCCCCAGCCCTGACCTGCACTTTTTGAGGCGTTGCCATTGTGCTAGCCGGCCTTTGGCTGAACCAAGTTCAAATCTTGACCTTCTCAAAGTTCTCTTGGGCCCCGTTTCTTGTCCTGTCCATGACCGCATGCAATGCCCTGGCTTCGGTCATCAATGAGTTTGGCCTGAAGCAGCATCACTCTGCCAACATCAATCTGCAAAATGCCCTTCTGTTTCTTGGCGTCGAGTGGATAAACCCGCTGGGACCTTTTGCTCGCAGCTCAGACCCGAGCCGGCTAGAGGGACTTCCCGTCGCCGGGCCTTGGTTTGTGGAGAATGCCTCACTGGTTTTTTAAGTCGAGGTTGAAACCATCCTTTGATGGCGCACTTATTCATTCTGGCGTTTTGGCAAGAATGACCCGTGAACACGGACCCAGGCCGTGAATCTCATCGACAAAGAATACATCCTCAATCCGGCCCACCAGTCCTGCAATGGTGCAGTAGATACAACACAACAGCAGATATGTTGTAACACAACAGCAGTGTGTCCTCCTGCGCATATTTGATGATGTTGGAAGCCTGGAAATCAAATCTCCACCCCGTTTACTGTTCAGGCGAAGGCCTTTAGCTGCTTGAAGATAACCCCATGTATCTCAACAGATCTCAACAAGGGAGGTGAAGAATGAAAAGGCTCCAAACTTTGGGCCTTACAGAGTGCATGTTTCCTTTCGTTAATTATATCCTTTTTCGGATCTGTGAGGAAGACATCAGACAGATTCAGACAGCTCCCTGCGAAGAAACACGTTTTCTTCAGAGCCGATCCCATGAATTTATCTCTCGGTGTCGCCTTTTCGCAGTCAAGTTTCCTTGCTGGTTCAGGTATTCTGCATGCATCTTCTTCACCCTAGCGACCATGGTCTTTTCAGGCCGAGTACATTCAGTGTGCCTTGGCTGCCTTGGCGGTCCTAGGTCCTTGTGAGCAGGACATAAGTTGATGACGAACAGTTGGATGCCGATTCCAAAGCCAGAGGCGGCGAAAGCCGTTACAGTATCACATTGTTTCAGATCGGCTTAGCTACTGATCAGACGGTAAAAGATGGCCAAGTCTGCTGGCTGTTGAACATATCTCCACTATGAGGAAGATCCAAAGAATGTTGGCTGTATGCAAAGCCATTTGTGGCCAGTGGCCAGTCTTCCCACCACCAAGAAGCAGAGGTATCATCGAGGCTACTTCTACGGCTTCACTCGCCACACCGTCTTCACCATCTTACTGCAAGCAGTCGCCGGGCTAACAGTCTCAAGGATTCTCAAGTATGCCGATGCAGTTCAGAAGAATGTTGCAGCCTCCTTGCGGGGACCCATCCTGGCCACCTGGTGGGATACTTTTTGTTTTTTGATTTTGTCAATTGCTTTGCCGAAGGTGGGGAGACGATAATTGAAAGGACAAACAGGTGGAAAACATTTGGAAGATCATGGCACTTCTTCCTTCTGTTCTTGCGCTAGTGTTACGAGCTTTGCACGAAAAAGGTGTTTTCGCATCCGAAGCAAATTAAACGTTTCTTCATCTAGTCCGCCCGATTTTTCTTTTAACAGGTGCTCTTGGGAGATGAATGTTGGATAAATTTGGTGCAAACAAAGTAGCAAGCACATCGTGTTTTCCGGTGCATTTTGCTTCAACTTCCGCTCTCATTACTTTTATCCAACCTGGTGTTCAAGGTGTGCGTTTCGCCCCTGGTTGGATCCATGGCGAATACACAGACCTTGCTCTCCGCCCTCCTGGTGAGCTGTGGCTGCACGATCTACCTACTGCAGGGACCTCTGAGCGCAAGTGAGAGTAAGGCTGAGCAAACCGGGCAAACGAGGTAGATCAGATGGCTGTGGGTCATGGCACCAGGATACCTTCGTTGACCTACCTGGAAGGTCAAGCTACCTGATGGACCCTCCAAGTTTTAACCCCTCCGCAGATAAGATCATTGGAGATCATACGTATCGTTTTGCTGGCTTATGCTGAAGGAGCAATTATCTATTTCAGCGAGCTGGGTGGAGAGAAACATAACTCATACTTCTTGTGGCAGACCAAGGAGGAGCTAGACCTAACGGCCTGACTCTTTTGCCACTTGAAGCCAACAATGCATCGAAGCAGAAAGAGGAGCTGTCAGGCTGTGAATGACAGGGGGCCAAGAGTCTAGAATCCTGCTCCATACCAACAAGTAGCTCACAAATAGCGACTTGCCGATACGCAAATGCTGCTATTTGTATGGGGCAAAGATAGCCATTTGTTGTGTGCCAGATGCGTCAGACTTATTGCGCTCATTGGTTCCGTGTCTGGACAGGTCTTTTTGATACAAAGGGGACTTATGTGCCTTTTGTTAGTCAGTCCTTTGGTCAGATCGATGAGAGTGGAAGGAGTCAATTCTTGAAACAATGCTGGAGCCCTCCCTAGTCCCTACCACTCTCGACCAGAAAATGAGGTGGAAGGACACTTTCATTTTCCCTGTCCATTTCATTTAGTGTGGTTTCACATTGGAAAGACGCTACGGCCCTACTTGTCTTTCTCCAAGTTCTTCCATTCCCCAGTCAATGCGAGAAAGAGCCCGGACACAAGGGACCCAAGAAAGTTGCGTTTTGTAAAGTTTGGAATGATGGGAATGAATCCGTTTTGGGAACTGATGCCGTGTCTGGAAAATGTTTTAGAACCTCAAACGGATGCTCACATCACCCATTATTTTTTACCTCAATCTCGCGTGCTCAAGGTGAAGGCGCATTGCAAGCAGTGCGCAGAGGAGCTTCGGGATGAGAGAAGGGAGAACTGGCAAGGTTGGTGCTTGGGCCGAATGCACTTCTCTAACCTCTAGCTGCATGGTTTTTATCAGAACCGTCTCCTCGGAGTGGAGGCCAATCTATTCAATCTATTCTAGCTGGTGAACGAGGGTAGCAGCGTTTTTGAGTTTTTTTAACCGTACCTTTCATGAAGCCAACTCAACAAGACATCCATAGCTTTGCATATGACTTGCAGGACTTGGACCATGAGTGCCAGGCCCCAAAGATGGGCCCAAAGACTGGCGGCCAAGGAGCCTCATTGGTCAATGTGGTCAATGCAAATCAGCACTAACAGCTTCTTGTGTCTGGTGAGTCATGCGAGTTTTTGATGCATTGAATGACCAAAGGTTTTTTTGTCATGTTGCGTCTCATAACCAAAGGCTCTTTTTCACAGACTGCTTGTCTCGGCATACCCATTTCACTAGAGAAGGCTCAAAGGCTGGGTATTCCCTTCAAAGTGTTAGGGGTACCCCTCGTAGTCCTCCTTCGATCGGGCTTTATGGTGCGCTTGCTGCATGTCTGGATCCAATCAGCCTGGTTTTGGAATTAGAAAGGGTGTCCGCCTCAAACAGCGAATTGATCGGATTGAAGTTTTGACAGTACAACTGGTGAAGACATGCAGCAGTGCCCCTGAGAAACTACCTGCTTACCAGTATCCCAACTGGTGAAGAAGTCCTCTCGCTATACAGAGGTATTTCCTAGCTACACGACGTCCTGTTGAGCTGGCCGCTCAAATCTGTTTTGTCACAAAAAGATTCAAACACATTCTCGGGGCTCTAGCATCAGTAGGTAGTATTACAGCGCGTTAGGTTTGCCTTCCATCCAGGCTCGGCCTTCGTTGGGGTCGGAGATGTTCTAAGTTCTGAGCCATCGGGTCAACCGACGGTCAACCTGCGAAACAGTTCTGGTCAGCAGGGCAGCCAACATCAGATCCTATTATCTGTTATCAGGAGTTCGTAGTGGTTGTGAGGTGGTTTACCAAGTCCTTTTCCACAACACAACTTTGCAAGAGTTCATGATGGCCAAGAGATGTTGGTTCTGTCTTTGAACCAGTATAGCAAGCTGGCTATAGCTTTTCAACTGTACTGGTGTTATCCAGTGAAACTGTGTCAAACATCATTGGTGCACAGGCATACGCATCGAAAGAAAGTCTTTGTACGGAGCATCACGATGTATTTTGCATTTGGTCATCACATGCAACACCATGACCAAAGCACCCTCGGAGCCTCACACTTCCACATCTAGACCGTCTGAAACAATCACAGAAGTGGACAACCACTGGGTTTGTAGAGAAAAGCTGTAATCCTTTCGGGGGCCATGCCATGCCACTTCCCTTATTCTTTCAGTGTACATTTGTACACCCAGCCCAACCACCTGCCCTTCAAACCCTCATAAGACGTTTTACTAGACCTTTTCGATTCAGACCGCTTCAGGCCATGCCGGACACCGAGACTGCGGTGGTCACCACCGTCGGCTGTTCGGTCCTGGGCCTCGTTCTGGCCGGTCCCGTGGGCGCGGTGCTGGGGGGCGGCCTGGCCGTGGCGGCGCTGCAGTCGGAGCTGCGCAGCTTCTCCAAGGGCCGGTTGCATATCGCACAAGTCTCCCTTCCACAGGAGGGGGCGGATGGGGTGGGGACTGGGATGGCGAGGAGGAGGAGGGTGGCGGAAGTAGGAAGTAGGATGTGAAAAATCAGGTTGTGTGGGAGATGGAGACAGTGGATCTGGTTTGGGATGAGGTCGATGGATGTAGGGAAATGATGCCACATTGTGTCATTAGGCCCGCACACTTGATAAATCCATGACATGACTCGAAAAACAATGAGCAACTCCTCCTTTTGTGGCGCGCAGGATGGCGTCGTTCGCCACAGTGGCGTCACCTACTTCACCATGCATTTGGTGGACGAGCAAGGTCGTAGGTGGCAGGCCGGCATATGCACAGTGCTACTCTGCGATTTTTCTAATTCGTTCTAATCATTGTTACTGGTTGAACACTTACAGAGTTGTGCTCTGGGAATTTAATGCTCTTTCTCAAGGTGCTACGTCGCTACACTGACTTCGATGAATTTCACAAGGCTGTGCACAACAGGGACATCCACGCTTACTTCCCAGGTGGGCCCGATTCGGCCCGATCTCTGTCAATCTTGCAGACCTTCTTCTTCACTTGTGAGGATGGTTCAAGCCTGGCCCACTTATATAACTCAAAATTGAACTTGTGGAAGCTTCTCGGTCATTTGAGCCGCTCGAAATCAGCTTGGTCAGATCAAATGCCAGTATTTTGGACCTAAACTGAAGAGAGACCCGGACCCAAATCCTTTAAGCTTGTTTTTTCCTCGTTCTTCCAACGGTCGGTGACAGGCAAGACGTGGCTTCCTTGTCACGGTCCTCAGCTGGAGGAACGACGAAGATATCTGGAAGCCTGGGTGCGGGATGTCTTCCGCCCCTTGGTGCGTTTTGAGGAAAGAGAACAGGGAGAAACAAGTTTTGGAAGCGCATTGACCAAGGCCTGCAACAGAGATAAACGATGATAAACGTGAACAGAATCCATAGGTGATTTCGTGATTGTATCAATGGACTGTATGTGAGTAGCTGAGTACTCTCTGCATGTCCCAATGATTTTGCAAGATATTCCCGTGGTGCTCTGCTGTCGGCTTGTCCAAGAGGTTGTGCCTTTACCTTCATGCCCAGCAATCGAGTGATCAAACCATCCTTGAGGCTTTCCTAGTCTTTTTTTAATCTTCTTCTGCCACTGGTGCGTTCAGACGTCTTCTAAGACTCTCTTCGTGTAGAATTGTAGAACAAGTTGTCTTAGCAAGGCCTGCGAGCTGTGAGATGGGGGTGGAACGGGCACAATCCGAGGTTGCTTCACAAGGATTGGCATCCCAAGCTCATTGGAGCTTGAGTTTCTTCCCTGCAGATTTTCAATAATTTTCACCAGGGCCACACAGACGTGTGTTGGCTCAGCGTTTTCCTTTTGCTGCAAATAGTAGACTGTGAATTTAAGACTGTCACAGAAACTTGCCCATGAGTGTAGGAGCCCCGAAATAGAATTGAATGTGCACTGAAAACGCCGTAGTGACCCCTATATTAGCAACCTCCCATTTCCTGGCACTGCAGCCCAAGCCCAGGTTTGAAGACTTCCTGCACCGTGGCATGGGACAAGTCACAGGCCCAATGGCCGCGCCCGCTGCATCGGCACCCGCCTCGGTGGGCACGGCGGCCACGGCCGCAGCGGGCTTTCTGATTCAAGTGCCACCAGGAGTGGTGCCTGGGCAAACGCTCACGGTGAAGAGTCCGGATGGCCTCCTGGCTGAACAGGCGAGCCGCGAGCCATGAGCCACAGGGGGTTCAGAGGGCTGCTGGGTGGTTCGCTGAGGTGGTTCAGAGGGAGTTCGTATTCTTGGCGTTGATATGGGTGGTTTGGTCAAATCTCCAGTAGCTTCTTTCAAGATTTCCGCAGAGGACTTCACTGATCCGTTGGAAAGAACGATCCATGTCCACCCCTTTGGGACTCTCCGAAGCGTCGGCGCCCAAGGTACCAGCTTTCAGATCACGGTTCCTGAGGGCTGTGCTGCGGGATCAACTTTGCAGGCGGATCCGGAGGGCGAAAAACAGGGCCAATGGGGGAGAACATCCAAGTCCAAGTGTGTCTGAAAAATACGGATACCCCAAGGAGGGTTGGTTTTGCCCGTCATTTGGAAAAACACTTTTTCATAGACTCTGAGCTTGAGCAAGTCCTGTCACATAACCTCTTCATATCAATCCTGCCTTTCCTGTTGAGGGAGTGAGTGCCCGGCCTTCATTCATCATGGGCTGAACACAGGGCGATTGACCCCTGAAAGGCCATGTAGTCTCACAGACTTCCCGCTAAGAATCATCCAGCACAAGAAGAATGGGGGGTTGCTCAGGAGGGAGCTAAGGAGCTGGCGGTCTCATTCTCCAGATTCCCCATTAAACAGGGAGCGGTTCGTTCGCTACCACGGGAGCTCCCGCAACTCCTTCCTGGTCCAAGTTAGCATCGAGAAAGAAACCAAATCAGAGTTGCTTTGATGAACTCCGACCACCCCGAATGACTCAGGTCAGCACACCCAGCCCGGCGAACCCGAGCTCCGCAGCGACCGCTTGCCCAGTGAGTGCTCCCCAGGCTGGAGTTTGTGGTGGGGTGCGGACGAAAGAAAGGGAAGAGGCTTGACGAGGCCAAAAGACATTGGTATGGTCCTGTTTTGTCCTACGCCTCCAACTTTGGGAGGATTTATTTCTGAAACATGAGCTTGCAGACCCTTTTTAGTCCTCCGCAAGTGGATAGACTTGCAAACTTGCATCGCGCTCTTGTTTGATGGAGAACTGGCTGCGTTGTTCTTCTTGTCAGTGAAAGCCAAGAGGCCTTCAAGATAGACAAATCTCGAGGGCTGCACTGGCAGCCTCATTTCTCAAATCCACATCAAGCTCCCCAGGACAGGCCACAACTAAACCACAATTCTTGGAACTACAATGAAACTGTAGACTCTTAAACTTACGGATGCCAGATTCCATGTACTACACAATCACAACCACAAAATGTCCATCAAATTCTAACGCACGTTTCCACTTGCCAAAGGTCATTCCACATCATCTCATTTTTTGTATCCACTGCTCTTCCCCTCCTTCTTCTCAAGTGCAGATTCTTCGCCCTTCCCCCAACAGTTAGACGTTTGGCGCACCCGATTCCACCGATTCCAAACGAGGTGGGCGGAAGCAGCTCGGGTGGGAAGATCTTCCTCAGCATCTCAGTGCCTCCCAATATCTCGGCAGGGCAAAAGATCGCCGCTCCTCGGCGAACCGCGCGACGTCTGAGAAAGGGTCGCGCGCCCTTTCGCGGGTCTTGGTGCGAGAAAGGGGGGCACGGCATCAAATGCCAAGCGGGTAGTAACGGTAGGGAAGCACTCGGCAGATTGACAGCTCAGGTTTCATTTAGGTTGAGTTGGTCTGAACAAGCGGAAGGCACTGAAACCGAAATCGCATGAAACCACAATCTGTTCTTTGAACACTTGATTTATTTGTTTTTGAATTTGAAGTCTTTTTTTGTTTAGGCACATGGTTTGATCTCTTTAAACATGTTGTGGTGAACAGCTGCCTTTTTGTACTCCCACTTACCATCATTTACCGCTTTTATGTCCACCAGGCTGGATTCAATCTTTCCGATACTCGTTCACCCGGGCTTGATCGGGGTGAAGAACGCATGGAACTAAATATCTAAAATAGGTTTACACCCGGGGAGGAGTAGCATGGAACTAGCCTGCAGCTTCCTCCACAAACTACTGGTTTTGAGGTTCCATGTCAATCTTCCAGGCATAGTTTCTTTCCTAGTTGAGGGTAGCTCACCAAGACACACTCAGAGGTGAAGGTGCCTGATGGTCGCGAGCTCACGCTCATGGTGCCAGCAAATCTGCAGCACCGCGAGGCAGGCCATAGCGTGGGCAGACAACAGTAGGGGGTAAAAGATGGCGGACAGCGAGAGGGATTCAATTCATCTAGACTTTCCTGATCATTAGATCATCCCATACACGGCCGCAAATAGACTGCAGATATTCCTTCATAGGTATGGACGGTATGGACTTAAACAAGTTGTTCAAGATGTGAGGCTTAGTTGTTGCCAAAGCTGCAGGTGGATTTGAGATGGTCATGATCGACGGGATTCCGTTGAGAGAAGGCTCAGTAGAATGCCAAATGGATCTACCAACATTGTTTTTCGTTTTCAACAGGCCTTACATGCATTTTCGTGGGTATGGGCAACAAGATGAACGGCAAGACAGCAGGCTTTACAGCTCCAAAAAACAGCGTCTTTCCCGACCACAACAAGCGTCGACCTCTTTGCAAGATGTCGCAACCGGTGACTTTTGTTCCGTCTTTTTTGCCTCAGGACTTGCAGCTGGAGTTCGATGTGGCCGCTGGGCAGCTGAAGCCGGTGGCATTACCAGAGGCCTCGGAGGCGACGAGCATCCTGGCGCAGATGGGCCAAGGAAGATTTGGTCTGCTTTTAGAAGGTTCTTGGTATAGGTTTGACATTTCTTCCCCGGGTTTGGAGGATGTCCTGAGACAGAACCATCTTTGCATTCGAAGCATCCACAATTTCATGGTTGTTTTTTGCAGAGTTCTTCGCCGATTCGCTGCCTGCAGAGCAAGATGGGCGGAAGAATCCGCTTCCCCCCCACCAAGCTCTCAGGGTTCAGCTGGCTGAGGGTGTTGGCTTTCACTCGAATCAATCTGAGGCAGTGAAGAGGTCTTCCAGATCCAAGTGCCCTGTGGCGTCCACAGTGGGCAGATGGTGAACATCCAGGTGCCGGATGGACGACAGCTGCCCCTCATCATACCACCAGGAAAACAACCAGGACCAACGGAATCTATAGAGGGGTCGTGCAGAGTTTTTTGTCCTTCGGCAGCTTGTATAGAATGGGTTATGTTGTCTCTATATATGTCTTATGTCTCGTCTATGACTGGAGATTTTGCGCCCGAGACGACCTGTTTCTCTCCTGTTCAAAATCACGTCAGGAGACGACCTGTTGCTTTGCTTGGATGCAACAAGAAGTCGACTCCTCTTGGCCAAAAGCTGAGCCCTTGAAGGTGGACTTCCACTTCCCATGTCCTCAGTGGGCATTAATCCATGGGCTCAGAAGCAGGGTTCCTGTTGAAGAGCCAATGCGAAGCATCTCGGAAACCGAGATCGTTTTGCGGCATTCTTGCATTCAGCGGACCTAGAGTAGTGGCAAGTATGTACAGGCTGCAGTCCACCATTTTGCCAAATCAGGGAGTTGTGTGAACAAAAGTAGTGGAGGAACCACTATCAGTCGACGTGGCTGCAGTGGGTGTAAGTGTATTTTAAAGACGTGTCAGACCTGGATGTGGCAGCAGTGCATTGTTTTCTGGCTAAGTTGTTTGTGTGATGCACAAGCTGAGACGCCAGGCTCATTGTTCCATTCGTTGAACCTGCAGACCTGCAGCTTAGTGTCTCAAGCACCCCACGCATCTGCAGATATGGCCCTGACCACGCCCATGGCATGTTGTTCACTGAAGGACAGGTGACATGATGGGTCGTCCCATTCTTTTTGGCCATCGAAGTGGATGGAGATGAGCAGAAAGGCTGATATCCATAACAGGCAAAATAGGGCACCTGATAAAACAAAATGAGTTGAAAAAAAACCGGTAGAATGTATTAAGTAAGGAAGGTTCCCACAGGTTCAGAAATAGCTCGGCCACCGCTTGGTATTCTGTTGTTCATTAGTGAGACGTGTTTGATGAGTCTTCTTCGATGTGTCAGAGTCAGGAACAACACCTGTTGGCTCACCGTGTCACAGGAAAAGTCCATTGCAGCCAGAAAATGCATTCAAGGCGAACATGAAAGTATTTCTTTCTTTGGTGTTTGCTTGGCTCATTCATGTTTGCAGGACCCAGCTTTGCTTAGCGCCTACAGCCTGCTGAAGTCGGTTCAAGAGATAGATCCTGACTTCAAGGACAAGGCCCACATGTTTTGGTGTCAACGCTAAGGCTCATGAAGCATCACAAGTCCAAACGTCTTGAGGACAAATCACCGGCAGAGGCTTCCACTACTGTTGGAGAAAGCACCAATCACCGGGTCAATGATGTCAGCTGAATGCTTTGTTTTGACCCCCAATGCCCCGCCAGGGTCAAACCAGCATGCTTGGTCCTCCCATTGGATCGGTCTGTGTGAGTGTGTTCCAGGTGCGCGTGCCGGTGATGGTGATTGTCGGAATGCAGTCTGTGGGGAAGACAAGCCTCATCGATGCTGGGCCAGAGGTAAAGTCGATTGAGTTGAAGTTCACCTGTGGACCGGGATTTTTTATTCCCTGAAATAATCATGGAAGTGGAACGTGGCCGCTGGAAAGACCATTATCCTCCACAAACAGATGGTTGTCCACTTGCATTATTCTTTCAGGTATTATACTCAGTGTTTCATCTCCCTGCTTATCCTGCTTATGTCTTTGGGTGAAGTCCTCATGATCGTGCTCACGTCTCAGAAGTCTAAGCTTTCTGAACATGGCTGAACTGCTGGAGACTGTGGTTCTGCTACGAGCTGCACGGAGGGCATACTGTAGAGGGGAAAGCATACAGGGTTGAAGCTCCTAAGGGGGGACCAACGGAGTACATGTCATTTTTAACATTGGTCAGAGTGGTTTGGTGTTGAATTGGAAAGCATCCGTTGTTTTTTGGACGGAATGAAACGAAGCGTGGCTTGGTGTTGAATTGCTCATCGTACACCAGCTTGGTGCCCACCTGTTTCTAGGGGAACCATTGGGAACCATGACCATCCATGACCCCAAAAACCTCACTCTGGATCTCTTCAAGTCAGTTGAAGTGCTTTGCCAGCTAGGTGAAGCATCGGCGCATTTTTGGACGAATCCTGAATGGCAAAGGCCACAAGAAATATAATTGTGAACATCACGGGGAGACCATTTTGTGTTGCAGAGGGACCATTGCCTGAACACCGTCCAATCCGGACCATCGCAAGGAAGCAATTCTCAGATTCCCAGTGGGCTACACAGATCGAAGCTCGGAGATCGGTGTAGGTCGCCACGAGTTTGTGTGTAGATGGTCTTCTTCTGTAGATATGATCTCTTGATGACTTTTTAGTTGACATGGCGAACGTAGCCTGCACATGAGTATCGGCCCTTGTTCTTCAGCTTTGCAGCATGGCGAGTGGAGACCCTGCAGCTAGAAGAGTCAAGCTCAAGACTTCCTGTGGAGTTTCCTTGAGGTTTCACGTTTACTGCAGTGCTGCCGTTTAGATGTGCACCCAGAATTGGGAATGGCCTGGCCCGGTCAAAAGGCTCAAGGGAGGGAAGAGCTGAGGCAACACGGGCAACCGCTGCCCAGTGCGCTACATCATCAGGTTTTCAGAGCATTCTCGCTATGTCGTGGGCGGGGAGAAGCTGCACAATCAAGCAGAGGTCCAAAGAAAGGTCACAGAGCATATGAAAAGCTTGCAGAAGCGCAACAGTTTCAGCAACCAGGTGGGGTGGGGCGAACTAGCCTGCTACCCAGTTGCTTGAGTTGTTTGCCCCTCCAAAGGCACCGAACAGAATCGCAAGAAATCACCACGAACAGATGACGCGCAGTTGGAAGCTAGATCTACATCAGAAGTTAGCAATCATTTTTCATATTTGAGTATTTTGACGGCAGGCAGGCTCCAGAACACCTTCGTGGTAAAGTTCACACTAAAGTTCACACACCAAGACACTATAATGCTTTGTCATTGAAAGTGCGACTGCATTTGGCAGGCTTTGACAGTTGAGATCAGCGATAAAGACCAGCTTGATATCGACATCACCGATTTGCCTGGCTTGCAGGACTGTCTGCCTGTTTGTGGTTGTTCCTTTGAGCTCGTGCTGAGAGAGCTTGTGTCACTGGATTCGTACGCGCTTTCACATGTTCTGCACACTGGCTTTAGGACAAAGCTGAGCAAGATTCGGAGAACATCCGGCAGATTGTGGAGCACTACTTGAAGGATGAGTCAGTGATCCCTGTCGCCGTGTGCAAGGCATGGTGGTTCGCGCCTGCGCCACTGCCTTTCGTCGTGGGTGCATGCTTTTGTTGGGAGATCGGCAAACCCTGGAGGCAGAGAAAAGCCATGAAACACAAATCGACTTCTCGATGTTGGAAGACGTTGGGCTGAATGCCAAACATGCACTGGTGGTAATCAATTACTTTAACAAGCAGCTGGGTGACTTGCACTCCGTCTCTGAGTTGAATAGCTACTGTGCTGGCTACTTGGACAAGTTCAAGCGTGTGCACTTTGTGATGTTGCACTTCGAGGAGGGGATTGACAAGGACAGCATGGGCTTTGATGAGCGACGCCGGTACGACCGGGCATTGATCCCAGGGGATGCCTGGCTGCGCATGGCTGCGCCAAGCCCGGTCATGCAAGACATTTCTTTTTCATGCTTGCTCATCCTTGAAGTAATGCTCATACAGTTAGGGACTATCCAAGGAACAAAAGAAAATCAATGAGAGGATTGAGCACTTGCAGGAGAAGGAGCCTGGTGCACAGGCAGGCTGCGAGGGGTACGGGTAGTGAATACAGTTTCCACGAGGCCACAATGGTCCAGCCTCACACTGCTCGAATAAGGTTAAGCCAGGAGTCCTGAAGGCCTTGGGTATCGGGTCCGCGCTGGACGACATGCAAAGCAGATTGTCCGCTCCTGAGCATAAATGGCGAGCACATCCACAGAAGCATGATGTGTACTTTCTTGAAGTCTGGCGTTGATTTTGGATAGGGTGATCTGGACAACATGCTTCTTTGATCCTGGATTCCAAATATCCGGTTGATTTGGATCGATCAGAACCTCGATGACATTTTGCCAAAAGGGTTTGAACATGATTGAAACGTGGGAACCATGGCTCCGGATATCTCATGAGTTGCACAAGAGTTCAAACTCTTGTGCCGGAAGCATTATGAAGCATTCACAACTTGCCACATACTATTGATCCATATCCATTTTCAATGATGATTTGGCTCAGGTCCGGTTTTATGGAATTCAACCGTACCAACCTCACGGTTGCCGTGAAGGAGACATGGTGCTGGCTTTGTCAGCATGTGACAGTGGGCTCAAAGTGTGTATGAAGCAGCCCCACTCTGCTCGATAAACTCTGAAGGCGTACTGATGATGAGATATGATGGGTACAAGCTCATTCGCTTCTGTGTGGAGAAGCAGTGATGGTGGTGCTTATAACATGAAATCCTCCACTTCTACTATCCTAACATGAAGGTTCAAGAGAAGAACTCGTCAGGCTTCCAACGAGGGTTCAAGCCAAAAGGGGCTTCAATGTTGAGCAATGTGATACAATGAAGACACCCACTCCAAGGTGTTGCGAGTGGTTGGTGTGCGAAGCTCCAAGTTTGCTCAGAACAGGTGCCGCACTTCGAATTGTCAGGAGAAGATTGAGGCCTTGTTGGAGGAGTGCAAGAATCTTCGAGAATCTGTGGATCTCGATGCGGACTCCATGTGGCAGCGTTGCTGGACCAAAATCATCTAAGAGCTACTCGTACAGTTGGGAATGTTCCCATTGACAGGCCTACTGTACCTAGAAAGTAAACACATGTCCAAGCTGTCTAAGCTTTCAAACTTCCGATGCTATGCCTTTTACACGTTTATTATACCTTTCTGAACCACGTGAAAGGACATGGGAGTGGCCGACCCTGTTTTGTTCGATCATCCGAAGGGCACCAGGGTCACCTCCCCCAAGGATGGGATGAGTATATGCTCGACTTCCAGACCGTGTTGAAGGGCATTTTTGAATGCAAGCACAATGACATCAAGTCGGATCTGCAAAGCATCTGAGATTAGCTGAGTCGGTGATTGTATCTCCTGGCCCATGGAAAGGAACATTCTATAGAGCTGTTAAAATAACCCCTTGATTTTGGGTCTCTCCGCAGCACATCAAGGTATGCGAAACGGCATCATTGGATGTTCGATAAGAAGACACTGGGCATGGAAAATCCTTTTGCGGCGACATTCGCGGAGGAGATGCCACATCAGCGGTATTCATGCAAACAAGCCTTTTGCTATGCCAGGGTATTGGATTTCAATGGGTTTCAATTGACCCTCATGCTATAGCTTCCATAAGTCATTGAGGCTTTAGACATTTTTAGACCATGACGTCTTGAAATGTGCACCGAGAAAGTGCACCGATCAACGTTGCTTATGCTATGCCAGCTTTGCAGTACATTCCGAGAACACAGCTTCAAGGTTCAGCTTGTATCAAGTGAAGCGGGCTGTCTAGAAACCAATGATCAGCCTATATTATGTGTAGTTTGAAGTTGCTGGTCGACATGGTACTTGGCCACTGGGTGGAGTCACACTTGGTGGTTCTTACTGTGAGTTTCGAGCCTCAAAACATATGGTTCGCAGCTTCCGCAGCTT